GGGTTTGAACCTACCACCCTTGGTATATGGGGCCAGCGCCCTACTCACTGAGCCACAGTCACCGCCCAAATCTAAAATTATTTATAAATAAAAAGGTTTTTTAAAAAATAACAACAGTAAACAGAAGACGAAGGAGATAAACCAGAGCCAGGTGGCAGGTAGCACTGACCTTCAATAGGAGAGGAATACCACCTTCCCTGACATGAAAGAGCTGGACAGAGACACAGATCATTTGGTAATAAACTTGTCCTCAGGAATTTGAAATGGAAGGCTCTTTTTCGTTAAAAAAGGTAGTTAAGGGATGGGATGCCACACCACCTCCCTGCTCTCTTTTCTCTCTTTCCCCACTTTCTTCCTCCCTTTCACTCCCTCTCTCCTTCTGAAAGATAAAATAAACTTATACTTAACAAAAAAGCACTTAAATGAAAATGAGTTCTAAATGAAGAGACACAATAGGTAAATAGAACACAGATGAAACTCAGACAGACAGGAGAAGTGGTCAACATTACACAGAAAGGAAAAAGCAGCAGCCTGAGCCATCTTCCAGCTTCTAATAACTCTGCTTTACAAGGATGGTGAGGGCTGAAATCGGCAACCTGGAAAAGCCATACTTTAGAGCACAGGACAAATTGTGGAGGACATTTTCAAGACTGTGCTAAAGTCATAACAGGACATTGAGAGCAAGAGTAATAGAAAGTAGAAGTAAATAAAACTTGGAGAGAAGACAGTTGCTCCATGAAAAGAACAGATACCACCAGACACACTGCAGGAGCGGCTGTTTCCTACCAAATCCTTCCATTTGTTCTCAGAAGCAAACTCAGGGCCTGCTGGAAGCTTTGCATAGATCCTCACTAGGATATTTTATTTACTTAAGGCTCTCTTTTCATTTTCAATATGAATACTCAGCTTATCAGCAGTAAGTATAAAATTTCAACTTTTTTTTTTTTTGGCCAGGGCTGGGTTTGAACCCTGCCACCTCTGGCATATGGGGCCGGCGCCCTACCCAGGTGCCACCCAAATCTCAATTTTAATAGACTTTTTTAATGGCAAAAAAATATACACAATAGTACTTGTTTGGGGCCCTCCATTTTCAGGGAGAAAAAATTAAGATAAAAAGGTTACATGTATATATATATATACACATTTCTATTCAAAAGGGATACGCACATATATTAAATAGTATAGTACAGTTTATATTACTTAAAATTAATTTAAAAAATAAAAAAAATTTATTGCATTATTGTGAAAAAATGTTGGCTTTTAGGTAATAAGATTATGATTTGAATCACCTCAGAAAATGTGGGTCTTTTATAAAGGGACATTGCCCTGATATATTATAGCTCAATATCACCTGGTTGGGGGTCCTCAGTTGCAAGCAACATATCTCACCTCTCTGATTAACTTAAACCCAAAAGGAATTTAATGGAAAATTAGTACGTGTATGAATGTGGGGTGGGGGTCAGGGATTCACAACTGAATAAATGACTGAAGGGTCAGGAACCATGGCACCTTCTAGGATCCAAGAAATGAAACTAAGAAAGGCCACATCAAGGCCTTGACACTGGCTGGAATCAGCACTGTTTTTCTTTTCTTGGATCATTCTGCTGAGAGTTTATCTTGTCAACTTGGGGGAAGAAGAAGAGCAAGGCACTGCAATGGGCAGCCTGCCAAACACACACACACTGGAAGAAATGGAAATGGGTGTGGAGTAGTTACCACTTGCCTTATTCTCTCATGCCACCATGCCCCTGCCTGAGCTATTCCTGGACTAGGAATGCTCCCTGACCCAGACCACCTGTCAAACTCCTACTTTCCCCTGAAAACCCAGAGAAAGTAACCCACTTCTGTGAAGCCAGCCAGCCTTTGCACTGTCTTTGTCCCTTGCAATTCACAGTCCCTGTTGAATTGATCACACTATATTATAATTATTTGTATCTGTATGGATCTCTGCTGTTAGACTCTAAGTTCCTTGAAGGTAGAAATAATGTCTTTCATCTGTGCTGCTTATGTGCCTAGGAGTGTGTCCATCACAAACTCAGTACTCAACAAATGATCACTGAGATAGATGCAAATTAATAAACCACTACTATTTTACTTAAAAATTGAAAAAGCATCATGAAGAATTCTATACAGACATGATATAATCGACTGTTACCTTTGCAAATCTGCGTGATGTTTGAGAAAGCCTGGCAATATCTTCAAGATCCAGATAAGATATGATACTCAGGAGCAAATTGTCTGAGAGCCGTTCAAGGAAGTCAAATTTACCTTCACACAAATTGAAGATATAGTCTAATACTCTTTCACCAAATATTAAGGCAATTTGAACTGTAATTTAAAGAAACCAACAAACCAATATGGTTATCATGTGCAGTCACATAAAAGCTATAGCAATAATCAGTGAGATGCAAGCTTTAAGACATATTTTCCCTTGGGGTGATGGTAGGCTATGCTAAGTCATGCCTACTTCCCCCAAGCTGACTTTTGAGACATTTGTTTTCAACTGCTATCCCTGCTCTGAGATCAGAATCTTTTAGGGACACTCACTATTTAGCACAATGATTTCTACACCCACTTGATCCTTTCAGCAACAAACTTCAGCCTACACCACTGACTTCCCTCATCTCTGCATAACCCTCACAGCCCCTCCAACTGGGCAGCTACATGGAGGAAAAAGATGCTGATCTGTGTGGGTTTTCTACCCCTCTACTTTCCATTTGTCTGAAACACACTGTCTCTGATTTTTAAAAATTTTTTTTTTGGAGATAGAGTCTCACTATATCACCATCGGTAGAGTCCTGTAGCATTCCAGCTTACAGCAACCTCAAACTCTTGGGTTTCAGCGATTCTCTTGCCTCAGCCTCCCAAGTAGCTGGGACTACAGGTACCCGCCACACACCTGGCTATTTTTTTCTTGCAGTTGTCTTTGTTGTTTAGCTGGCCTGGGCCGGG